ATGAACTCTCTATACGACCCTCAATACTTTAGGCCCCTATCTTTTCATTTATCCCCATAATATAGTTCACAAGAAAAGTGAATGCAATTTCTATTCTGTTCACGCTTGAATTTCTGAATATATGGCCATTTTTATATTATTAACCAAATTGACTACCTTTAATTCAATTCAGTTCATTAAAGAACCCTATTTATTTAGTATGATATCAATAATTTTCCTTCTTGCAGAACAGGGAAATCAAAGATCTAAAAACTTATAAAATTAAAAACTCTCAGGCTTTGTTTAATTACCTCAGGAGTGCAGAAATGATTGGTACCAATTAGAATTTAGAAAACTACAAATTCCTCAACTTGACTTATGAATAAACTTTTAGTGAGAACTTCCCTGTCTCCTGGGACTCTCTGGAGCAAATCCATGGAGACTGATGTCTCAGAGGAACCTATGAAAGTGCCCCACTAACAAACTGTTATTTTCAGAGAAGGTATCCTGACCTAGCATGAACAGATGAATTAATCACTCTCAATTCTCCTAAATGTTGAAGAAACCTTACCATGTCATGAAAGCCTCATGAATAGAATTCAATAATGCAAAGGACACTTGCATTAAAGTCTAGAAGAAGATATTCATTTTCCCTGTGCAGAAAAAAAAAAGAAGAAAAAATTTTTGTTCCAATTATACTGCTGTTATAACTCGATTCTCCTCTTTTGTCAGTCTACAGTGAACAAGGACACACCTCGGGGCTGGAAGTGTTTTCCTGGGAATCAGTAGTGCTGTAAGTATTGCTTTGTCACAGAGAAAGAGTACTATTTTGGAAAAAGTTTTGCTTTTCTCTAGAGTGAACTGATGCAGCTAGGCGTGATCCTCTGAAGTCTTAAAGTAAATCCAAATAAGTCAATTTTGGTATCATTTAGAAAAATCATCACAATGACCTGGACTTGGACCTTCCTCAATGGAAAGCAGTCTTTATTCACCGCATTTTACCCAGAACCATCAGTCCTTGAGAAAATTTCAAATTGGTTGTTTACTGAAGTTTCAGCTTAGCACAAGTCCCCTGAGTGGTGAATCCTGGTTTACTTCTCTTTGTGGGGCTTATTCTATACATACTTAATGTTTCTGTTTTAGGGTTCTATGCCATCGGGCATATTCAAATTTATTCCATGATCAAAGTCTTGAAAATTGAAATTGGTCTTCATCAACAATTTAAAAACAAACAAACAAACAAACCTTGGAACATTTTGCTCTTATCCAGAGAAGAGCATATGTTAATACTTTTCTTCTTTTTGTCTTCTTCTAAGACTATAAAAAGTTTTAGAAAATGTGGGATTCTTTATTTCACAACACAACTCAGAAAAAAAAAATGACTCAATACAGTCTCAAACCATTGAGCATTAAATTAGTTAAGAAAGTTATCTGTACTCAGGCAGCCTGAACAAACTGGGAATAGAACCAGAACACAGTAAAAACAAAAAAAACACACCAGCATATTCATGATTAGGGAAAGATGGAGAAGAAAGGTTTTCATGCAGCAAAACTCACATCAGAAAAAGTTGGAAGCAGCAGCAAACTTGGAGACAAATTATTCATCAAAGAGTCCTTATTATGATATGATTTGAGCATTTGAAATACAGGAAACAGTAACATGTATAAACGTGTGTGTATCAGTTTCCATAAACTTCTAGGTAACTGGGGACAGAGTGTCAACAAGCTATCCCTTCATGTAATCATTTAGAAACTATATTTTGAGAGTTATTTTGTGTCAAGCCCTATGCTTCAGCCCTGCAGATACTATTGCTGCCTGCAAGGGGCTTAGAGTCTATAGCAGAAGCCAAGCAAACAATAATCACAATTCTGCAAAGTGTTCAGGTATAGATTTGCCCAGGGCATCAGGAAAGTGTATAGGAGCAGCACCTTAACTGGACTAGAGAAGGAAAGTTAAGGAAGGCTTACCACGGAGGTGGCTCCTAAAGTGAAATCTGAAAGTCAGGCAAGACTTAGCCAAATAGTGGAGAAAGTTGGGAAGGGTATTTCTGGTGAAGAGAACAGCATGTCACAGTTACTAAACTTCACCACTATAGCACAAAAGCAGCCATAGGCAATATGTAAACAGATGAGTGCAGCTATGTTTTAGTGAAACTTTATAAAAACAGGGCCATAGTTTCCTAACCTCCAAACTTGAGTAATTCACTAAGTGTGGAGCATAGAAGAAGGCAGACAGCAAAATGGCAGAAGATCATGCTGGGAAGGTGGGTAAGACCAGCTCATCGGTGGTCTTAAATGTCATGCTGAGGAGTCTGGGATGTTAACCTCAAGGTTCTGAGGAGTGGCATAGTCAGAATTAGAATGGTTCCCCTTGCCGCAGTTGGAACCATGGGTAGCAGCGAACACAGCAAATCAGAAGACAGGGAGTCCTGTTAGGAGGCTGTGTTCAAATCCTGATGGGAGATGACAGGATGATTTACCAGAGCCTAGGAGAGATGGAAAGAAGGACACATACTAGAAAGTGGATAAGAAGTAACATTAACAGGACCCAGTGACTTGAACACCAGTGGATATGGAAGAATCCATTTGACCCTATACATTGTGATTTTCCTAAAGGAAAAGAAAAAGTCTAGCGCATAGGACTGAATTGTTAACAGGGATATAGACTGCAGTATTTAATCCAGTGTCTTAGCTCTGTAACTTTAGTTTCCTACGGTTGCTTTCCTGTGTTTCTCTGAGTATTGCTTTTACCTGCTAACTCGAGACATCCCACCTCCCTCCACATCTCACAAAACTTCACATGTGCTCAAAACCCAGTCCGTGCAGCTGTCAGGACAGCTACCGCCCGATTCCACGTTCTTGCCACTTCTACTTGCTCAGCATTCCTTCTACTGGGGACCACCCCCTCGCCAGGCACTGCCACTTCTGCTGGTATCATTTCTACTGCCACTACTGCTGCTATTCCTGGGTCCTCATGCTGCCAAACAAAGCTATGATCCTGAAAAAAGCAAAGGGAGTATGTCTGTCCCCTGTATGTACCCCACCTGGCCACCTGGATATCACAGCAGTGCTATCTGTGGCCAGAATCTCAAAAGAGGTGATTCAGATACCACCCGCAGCCCCTTCCTCCATAAAGCTTAGATCCACGTGTACATGTGTTACAGAGAATGGCTCACACCATACTTCGCGCGCGCGCGCGCACGCGTACACACACACACACAAATTGGCAAACACCCTGACTCAAGATCCTCTCCTCCCAAAGCTTCATGAATCTGCCATGTAAACTGTCCTAACTGTTAATTTATCATAAGTTGCAGGACAAGCCTGACTCCCAGCTCCAGCTCAAGTGAAATTCTCCGCTCTGGTTCTATTTCATGAAAATTGAATCTTTTCCTGGAATACTATCCCCCTCTCTCCCTACTCCATTTTCTTTTCCTATTGAACTCTAGGACTCAGCTTAGGCCTCTTCTTTAGAAAAACTCCTTTAACCCCTGCTAAAGATGTATGAAGAGTCCCTTCTAAGTGTTTCTAAACCAATCTATGTACAGCTCTACGCTTTCCTTTACTAAGTCATGTTGTAATTATTATACTACATCTGGTCTCTATCTATCTATCTAAATGATAAGCTCATTGATTGCCTAGCAGGACTTGAAGCATAGTAAGTTCTCAACAAATGCTTGTGAAATTCATAGGTCTGATTCTTCAAATAGTAGAATGTATAGTCCTTGGAGATGTTATATTGAGCTAGAGAGATTGCCACTCTTCTCTGCATGGGGGATGAAGATAATTCCATACCTATCCTATATAAAGAGACTAGGTTCATGCCCAGTTATATTGTGCATAATTCAAATACTTCTCTGTCTCTCATCATTTTGTGGAAAGGCACTACAGCTTGTGACATTACAAAGAATAATCTTTTCTTGGTCTAGAAAAGAGGTAAGAGAAAATGGAAGTGTTTTTCTTCCCTGAGCAAGCCCTCAGAGAATTACAGTTATCTCACATGAGGGAAGAATGAAACAACCTCTCAATGAACTGTAAGTTGCCTCTTCCATGGTAAGTTTCTTATGTACTTTGAAAATTGTGAAATTCATTTCACAGTAATTTATCTTACCCATTTCAAAGGAAACGCATATGGAAGAATAGCCTCAGGAAGAAAGGAAGTAGTTTTACTATTTTCTACTGAATTTTAATAGAACAGAAAGGATGTTCTCAGCCTATGAATTTGCATATACAAATAGAAATACTTTACTTGGTACAAAAAGACATTTAGTCACAAAAAAGGTTTTGACAAAAATGTACTTCTCAGAATTTGCATTTTGTTATCCTTAGCATTTGCTAACCTTTTCACTTTTGTAGGTTAGTGTCTGCAGATCTTTATCCAATATACATTTATTAGTTGCTTCCATATAACAGGCTTTGACTCAGCTCATTCTGAAATTTTGAATTTGAGTTGAATATATTTCTCTACTTCCTAAACAGTTTTATTCATTTAGTTTTAAATGTTTTGATTCCTTTAACAAGAGTCTGAACTAGAATGTGGAAGTGGATTCTTTAGAAAAACACCTGTTCCATTATCTAACTTGTATGTCACCACTAATAAAATAGCAATGATATGGGGTTATTTTAATACACACACCAACACTCACACACAATAGTGGCTTCCTTAAACCTATCTATAATGTAATCAGGAACTCATTTTTAGACTTTGGGAGTAGGGATTAATTTCTTATGAACTCACAGCTATGTTTATATACATATGTTAATATACACACTATAAATTTAAAAGAATCATATGAATTATTGATTATAAGCAACCACATTTAACATGATTATTCTCATAGTTGTATAAGGGTGAAAAAAATACTCTGCATTCATTAAGTGTATTTAATACATTCAAAATCCATTAGAAGCTGGTTGTGCTGGCAAAAGAAGCAGCCAAATCATCAGTCAAGAAGGGTTGGCCAGTGTGTATTTGTATGTGGATGAGGGAGGACCTGAAATAGACTCAGATCCTGAAGGACCTGACATAGTCAGAATCCTCCTTATTTTTTGTCTCAACTATAATCAACTGTACACTAAGATTCTAAGGAGCTACTTTCTTGCTTGTCTTTCTAGGGTATCAAGGGACATGAGAAATGGCACAGTAATCACAGAATTCATCCTCCTAGGCTTTCCCGTTATCCAAGGCCTACAAACACCTCTCTTTATAGCAATCTTTCTCATCTACATATTAACCCTTGCAGGCAATGGGCTTATTATTGCCATTGTGTGGGCTGAGCCCAGGCTACAAATTCCAATGTACTTCTTCCTTTGTAACCTGTCTTTCCTAGAGATCTGGTACACCACCACAGTCATCCCCAAACTGCTAGAAACCTTTGTAGTAGCAAGAACAGTCATCTGCATTTCTTGCTGCCTGCTGCAGGCCTTCTTCCACTTCTTCCTGGGCACCAGCGAGTTCTTGATCCTCACTATCATGTCTTTCGACCGCTACCTGGCCATCTGCAAGCCCCTTCGCTACCCCACCATCATGACCAGCAAACTCTGCCTGCAGCTGGCCCTGAGCTCCTGGGTGGTGGGTTTCACCATTGTCTTTTGTCAGACAATGCTGCTCATCCAGTTGCCATTCTGTGGTAATAATGTTATCAATCATTTCTACTGTGATGTTGGGCCCATTTTGAAAGCAGCCTGCATAGACACCAGCATTTTAGAACTCCTGGGTGTCCTGGCAACCGTCCTTGTGATCCCAGGGTCACTCCTCTTTAATATGATTTCTTATATCTACATCCTGTCCACAATCCTACAGATTCCTTCAGCCACTGGCCGCCAAAAGACTTTCTCTACCTGTGCCTCTCACCTGACAGTTGTCTCCCTGCTCTATGGGGCTGTTCTGTTCATGTACCTAAGACCCACAGCACATTCGTCCTTTAAGATTAATAAGGTGGTATCTGTGCTAAATACCATCCTCACCCCCCTCCTGAATCCCTTTATTTATACCATTAGAAACAAGGAGGTGAAGGGAGCCTTAAGAAAGGCAATAACTTGCCCAAAGACCGATCATGCAAAGTAAAACATGCAACACATTAAAATGAGCTTAAGGCAGATAAAAACAATTAAAAGTGAGAGAGGATTGTGGAAAAGTTTGGTAAAACAGGCTCCTCCCAAATCTCAGAAGTTCTAATTCAATGCTACAGTAATATAAAGATGCAAAAGCAAACATGATAGTTAGGGTCCCCTATGAGAATTTGTTACATGTAAAAGTACTAAGAGTGTTCTTGAGAAGAAACAACCTAATTATTCAACAAGGAAATCCCAGGATACCCTCAGATGCATGAAGTAGAACTTTGGACTTCTCAACTGTAAACTGAAAGTAGAAACCACTTCGGTCAGAGACAAATGTCAACAACTTTAAAAATATATAAGAAATCTCATCTCCCTCTTTCTTTAGGACCACCATCTTCTTTTTATGACCACCCTCTTTGCCTCATCTTCTTGTCAAAAGCATAAAACATTCCACATCTCATTTACTTAGTTCCTATTATCTTCATCATAAAAGAAGCATGCCACAGACTTTTAATAATTAATGGTCCTTCCAAAATGTTTGAAATAAATCAGCTTTTTGTTTGATAATATCTCAATAAGGGGACTTCCATCTTGACATAATACACATTTTTAGATAAACTTAACGGTGTTCATCCCCAGATAATACCAAAACTTGAGAACATCTTGTAAAAAGTTTCCATTTACACTTCATGGATTACAGTAGTTTCTGGGCTTCAATATAAGTAGACCACGTGCCTAGGAAGCCAGGAAAAGTCTCAGAGTCAATATATCTAGAAATGCTTTTCCTACTGGAAAATGCAGCCCTAAGGTTATATGAAGTTCAGGGCTCACACGTAGGGTTGTCATTGAAACCCCAGGGGTTCAGTCAGTTATTGACGTTCTGCTGCTTGCTGCACAGAACGTCAATTACTGAGTCACTGAGCACTGCCAGAAAAGAAGCCTTTAACTGAATGCTGCAGCCGAGAAAAATGGGAGGTCAAATCTCAAATCCATCTCCCCAGCCGACTAAAATTGGGAAGTTTTTATATAGTGGGAGGGAGGGAGTATAGCAATTAGGAAGGGGTAAGGAAGAAGAGTTGATAAGGTGAGGAAACAAGAATTAAGGAGGGGTAAGGAAGTCATCATGATGAATGAGGGACTGGCATCTTGTTGTCTGGATTGGTGATCTAGTGGGTTTCAGTCTCTTGCCTGAGGGTCAGTTTCCTGAGGAAGGAATTCAGTTAAGACAAACGTAAGTTTCAGGTTTTAAGACAGAGCGTCAATTTCTGTATTTATTTAAAACTCCATAAATATCAGTTGTGTGGGACAATAGGGCCGGTTTCAGGGTTAGTGTGCAAAGTCCCTCAAAGTAGGATACAAACCTACTGATCTGACCTTGTTTTCAGGCAAGATACCTTTTTAGGGAATGATGATGCAGGTAATTCGCAGTTTGTAATAATGAGTATTATACATGTCCCTTTCCAACAGTAAAGAAAAACTAGCATTAAAAGTCCATTAAAACTTTGACTTAAAACAAAAAAGATGACTTCTGTAAACCAAAAATAAAATTCTAATGGCCCCTCAACCATCTGAATGGACACCTCCTCTTGGCCAGGGCACTCCAAAATTAACCTGGAAAACTGGTTCAGGTCATCACAGGAGGAAGGGGTCAGACATGCCTCATATGCTCGTCTCCCTTTTGGAATTCAGAAAAAGCCGAACAGCATTGAACATCAACACAGACCTTAAGTCCGATAAGAAATATTTACAAATGTACAATCTGTTCTCTCTGAAACTTACTACCTGGAACCTTCATTTGCATGATAAAAATTTGGTCTCCACAACCCTTTATCATAACCCAGACATTCCTTTCTGTTGATAATAACTCTTTCAACCAATTGACAATGAGAAAATTTTTAAATCTACCTATAACCTGGAAGCCCCCCGCTCCCCACTTCAAGTTGTCCTGCCTTTCTGGACACAACCAATGTATATCTTAAATGTATCTGATTGATGTCTCATGTGTCAAGCTGTGCCCACCTTGGGCACATGTTCTCAGGATCTCCTGAGGGCTGTGTCACAGGCCATGGTCACTCACATTTGGCTCAGAATAAATCTCTTCCAATATTTTACAGAGTTGGACTCCTTCCATCAACACTGCACATTCCTTTTAATATTAAATTGAAAATTCAAAACAAAATGTAATGAGGTGAAAATATTATCTCAACTGCTGTACCTGATTTTCTGTTAGAGAGGGAACTGTCTTAGAGCTGCACAGGAGAAATAGATCATTTGGAGGTAAAGGAAGAGAAAGAATCTAAGGATATCAATAGTATCATAAGCTCTATCATCAAAGAATGGTTTAGAGTGCCTTGAATGATTAAAAAAATGGTAATATTTAATATTTCTCAAAAAAAGAAAATGACAGAGAAAGGAAGAAAAATGAACCAAAAAATGAAACAGAGAAGTCTGGGAAGAAGTCAGTGGAAATTCTCCAGAGTTAGGATGCCTAAAAGGCAGTTCAAGAATAGGGATGCCTAATGCTCAGTTTGAAGTCACATTTCTACAATGTTAATCTGTGTCCCCTTCAAACCTTCAATAAAGTCTCCTATATTACCAAATGCATGTATGAACAGAACATGCATGTCACATCATTCATGTATGTGTGTGTTGTGTGTGAGTCAAGCAGGAATGAAGTTTCATGCCTGGAATTATGTAGTTTGGAATAGAAACAGCCCACAGAGAAGCTCACAGAGGTGACTATAGAATATGTGGAAATTGTAGGAAGCACTTCACACTTGCATGGGCTTGGGCAAGTACTCAAGGTAACCTAAATCTAGAGGAGTTAGAACATCTGGGTTATAATATTGTTTCATAAAGTTCTAAAAAATTTGCCTTCAAATCTCATAAATATTCGTTTTCCTGAGCCTAGTCTATTACCTTAAGGGTTTCATGTCTAAGGGCAGACAGAGGGTAGGATACAAACACTTTGGCAGATCCAAAAAAAAGGAGGGCAAGGAGGAAGAAAAGGAATGAGAATACCATCAGGCTTCAATTTATGAAACTTAAAATAGACAAGATTTATTCATGCATTTTTATGTCTTACTGATATATTGATATCTTGTACCAAGCTAAGTTCCTGGTACTGATTCTACTGGGACAAAAATGTGTGTGTGTGCGCAAATGTGTGTGGGTATTATAGTAGTCTGCAGGGATATTACTTCTAGGAGTTGGAAATGCTAGAGTTAGGAAAGTTTATCCCACAGTGAAGCCTCCTGAGCATCAAGAATGATGTGAATTTTAAGAAGATTTCCAGGGAACCATGCCTACGACCTGACTTTCCTTCACCTATATGGAAGGCAAAGACACTAAGGAGATTGTGGTCACTCTCCAGTGTCCAGAGAAGGTGGAGTGCTGTTTTAAAGAAAAGGAGCCCCGGCCACAGAGACAAGAGAGAAACTGAGACCTCACATTGTACCCTACTGTTTCTCAGGTCTCTAACGCCAAAATGTCTTTCCTAGTCTACTGTTTTACGAAAAGAGAAAGGAACTACACAAAGATTCATTCAAACAATATCACAAGCAACCTATCCAGATCCCTAGATATTATTTTTCTAGTATCAATAACTTTAATGACGAAATTGAGCACCTGGAAAGACCTAAAACAAATCTTTAACAATAAACTTTTGTGATTTTTTGTTTTTGAAAATGCACAGACTTAAGTAAAGGAGTGTTTTCATGATGCCACAGGATATTAATTATAAACAGGACTTAGAATTCAAACTGGGTGGGGGGAATGCAGAGCTAGAAAAGGTTAAGTAGGTTTCTTCACTACTGAACTTCTAAGAATCCTTAACACTAAGTTAGAGAAAAAGTTTTCCAAATCTCAAGCATATCAGTATGAAAGTACCTGCTATATGACCTTGAACCCAACATAGCTTTATTCATCCCATCTTGGAATTCTTTAAGACTTGTGCCCATCCAAAAACAGACATAGAGGCCAATGGAATAGGTTAGAAAACCCAGAAATAAAGCCACACACTTACAACCATCTGATTTTTGACAAAGTTGACAAAAACAAGCAATGGCAAAAGGACTTCCTATTCAATAAATGATGCTGGGATAACTGACTAGCCATATGCAGAAGATTGAAACTGGATCCCTTCCTTTTACTATATAAAAAATCAACTCAAGATGGATTAAAGACTTAAATATAAAACTAAAACTATAAAAACCCTAGAAGAGGCCAGGCATGGTGGCTCACGCCTGTAATCCAAGCACTTTGGAGGTCAAGGCGGGCAGATCACCTGAGGTCAGGAGTTCAAGACCAGCCTGACCAACATGGTGAAACCCTGTCTTAAAAAAAAAAAAAAAAAAACACAGAAGAAAACATAGAAAACACCATTCTGGACATAGGACCAGGAAAAGATTTCATGATGAAGACTCCAAAAGCAATTACAACAAAAAGAAATTGACAAGTGGGACCTAATTAAACTAAGGAGCTTCTGCCCAGCAAAAGAAACTATCAACAGAGTACATAGATATTCTACAGAATGGGAGAAAATATTGGCAAATTATGCATCTGAAAAAAGTCTAATACCCAGAATCTATAAGGAACTTAAACAATTCAAAAAGCAAAAAACAACCCCACTAAAAAATGGGCAAAGGACATGAACAGACACCTCTCAAAAGAAGACATACATGTGGCCAACAAATATAAAGAAAATAATGCCCAACATCACTAATCATTAGAGAAATACAAATCAAAACCACGATAGGATACCATCTCACACCAGTCAGAATGGCTATTATTAAGAAGTAAAAGAGAAATAACAGATGTTGGCAAGGTTGTAGAGAAAAAGGAATGCATATACACTGCTGGTGGGAATGTAAATTAGTTTAGCTACTGTGGAAAGCAGTTTGGAGATTTCTTGAATATAAAACAGAATTGCTATTTGACCCAGCAATCCCATTACTGGGTATAAACTCAAAGGAATATAGGTCGTTTTACCATAAACAGATATGTATGCATACATATGTTCACTGTAGCACTGTTTCACAATAGCAAAGACATGGAATCAACTGAAATACCCCTCAATGGTGGACTGGATAAATAAAATTTGGTACATATATACCACGGAATACTATGCAGCCACAAAAAAGAATGACATCATGTTTTCCGCAGCAAAGTAGATGGAGCTGGAA